TTGAATTTGGAAATCCAACTCTTCTAATTTCTTATTTCTAATTCAATGTTTTTGATTTAAATTCATAATCTGATTTTACTTTTAATATTCAAATTTTTTTCTGTTGATGTTCCTAATTAAAATTCCCGATCTTTTTGTTCCAATTCTTAAACTTCTAAACAAAATTTCAAAGTTTCTACCCACAATATCAGTTTTATAACTTGATATTTCAATCCCAATAAATCATAATTCGTATTTCAAAGTTTTTCGTTTAATTTTGAAATATCCAAGATAAGTCCTACAATTTTCTACCCTTGTGTCAAAGTTTCACATTCAATTTTCCAGATTTTTTATTCTAATCTTAAAATTTTACATTGCGAAATATTTATTGGAATTAATTTATTTTGAGAAGGAAAAGGTAATGCAAGATTTAATTTCTATATATTTGTGGGATATTTCGATGTTTCTCGAACATTTAAAAAATGGTACTACCCTATAACAGTAACGGACACTTCAGAATATCCCCTAGACGTCCTACTCTCTAAATCTGAATAAGTGAAATTTCACTTAAAATGTGTCAAAGTCTTCCACGTAGAAAAATAAGTGTATATGCACTTTTAAATAAGTGGTTTTCACTCAAAAATAAGTGAAGTTTCACTTATTTTTAAGTGCATATACACTTATTTTTCTACGTGGAAGACTTTTGACACATTTTAAGTGAAATTTCACTTATTCAGATTTAGCGAGTATCCATATCCGGAAATTTGGATATCCCTGAGACATCCTATGAATGTCCTACTTTCTGGTTATCCCTAAAACATCCGTAGGATATCTTCCCCCACAGCACCGAAACTTTCCTGAAAATTAAGTAAATATTTACTTGTAAAATTTGGAATATTTAATTGCAATGTTTATTGAAAGTTATGTAAAGATTTAAATGTCCCACTTGAATAAACGTTAAGCGCGATACTTTCCTGAACATTTATTTAATCGGGACATTTAAACCTTTACACAATTTTCATTAAACTTTGTAATTAAACATTCTAAATATATATAAGGGGTAAAATTCCTGTAGCGAACTAAGTAAAAAAAAGTTGATCGGATCGGGCACATAGTTAAGCTCTAGGGGTGAGTAATTTAACTACGAAGTATTGTTAGGTTTTTTTAAAAACTGTCGGAGAGAGGGGGTTGAATTTTTTTGAAAAATTTAAACATTGAATTTTTGAAGACTTGTAACTTTTAAACAAAAAGAAAAAGAGAAAAAATTTGTTCTATATGTTTTCGAAAGGTTTTTTCTTGCTCTTTCGAATGCTGCAAAAAATTTTTTTAAAAATTCAAATTTTGACCCTTTTTTTGAAAATTAAACTTTTTTTCGAATTTTTTTTTAAGTTCGATCGTTTTTATTTTTTTTTATATATTTTTTTTTAAAGCTAAAAATGTGTATTTTCACCACAAAAAATATTGAGATGTCCTTTTTTGTTATTTTCGAGATATTAATTATTTAATTAATTAATGATAATAAATAATTATATATTTTATAAACCAATAAAGGTTTCGTAATTCTGACGTTACTAAATGAAAGTTGACAAAATAACATATAGAACAAATTTTTTCTCTTCCTTTTTGTTTAAAAGTTACAAGTCTTCAAAAATTCAATGTTTAAATTTTTCAAAAAAATTTAATCCCCTCCCTCTCCGACAGTTTCTGAAAAAACCTAACAATACTTCGTAGTTAAATTACTCACCCCTAGAGCTTAACTATGTGCAAGTTACAGCCCGATTCGATCAACTTTTTTTTCACTTAGTTCGCTACAGGAATTTTACCCCATATATGTATTTTTTTAATTCTTTAAATAAATATCCATTACTCAATATAACGTTTACATATTCCTACGTTCTGGTCAAAATTACCTTCCGACTCCACAGTCCTGACAAATAAAAACAAAACGGTATAAGTATAAATAAGGATTTTGTTAAAGATAGTTTCGTTCCCTCGAGAAATAAATATAGGAAGGCACAAATGTGCTAGCGGAGGGGCAATAAAAATAAAATTCCCGTACGTTGCCGGTTATCTGCCGCAAGTTACGATTAAAAGATCGTGCGGAATCTCCGCCCAGGCCATGTCCCGAATTCTCAGTTTTCGTTGAAGCCGTTTCAACGGTTTCTGTCGACTCCTAGGGGACGAATGCATTCCATTCTTGCGTCGACTCTAAGGAATAAACTTCTGAAAGAGCCTTTTATGCACTCGAACTCGTCTTCGACAATTTTATGTTTATCGTAAATAGAGTCATCTAATCTCGAAACAATTTCGATCATTGCAACTTTCTCTCGATCTTTATATACCCACAGAAATTTAGCTGCGAAAGATAAGCAAAAAATATATATGCAATGAATTTAACAGAGGTTTCTTGATTATAATAGTTTCTGAAAATTAGCGAATGAATTAGACGTTTTAAAAGTCAAAAATGTGTCAAAATTTAGCTGTTAAAAAAGGAATTATTTGGAAATTTGTGTTCCTTTTTTACTGAAATCCTTACTTAATATATTTTCTGGAATAACTAAGAGCATTTATATGTATATAATAACGTCTGCAACATATTATAGTAATTAATCTTTTATGGTGAAATGATAATAAAAATTTATAGGATTCTGTTTAACCAGGAACGGGTTAAAGGTCAAAATTTTTACTGCATTCACCCTAAGTCCAAAAGTATCAGAGTTGACCATTCACCTTGTTATCATACCAGTTCGTATTAACGCACGACTGCTTCCGGTTATTATAGCACGTGTGTGTATACGGAAAAGGGGTGGATAAAGAGAATGAAGCCCTCGATTATATCTGGGTGCGGGGTGGATATCGTCAAAAGGCCGTTTCCCGCCGTCAAGCCGTGTAGGGTCAGAAACGGTTTTGGGAGTATTTTTAAGTCCGTGGACTCAATGTTCCGCGAAATGCGGTAGTTACCCCCCCTAACCCCCTCATCTCTTTCTTCACGACTATTCGTTTTCTTCGTCAGATTCCCTTTTTCTTCTTCTCATCGATCACGAAATACAAATCCATCTATATATGCTCTATATAAATAGTTGACTACAAATCCCCGTGATATACTCTTCATATCTGAAACGCTCTTTTCCTTTCCAAGGACCTATATCGTCAAGATGACAGGGTAGTTTTAAACAATTCGACGATCAGCCCCAACCAAGGGTGAAAACGTATCACCCAGTTCGGGATATATAACCCTGTGATATGAAGGATTTCCTCCACTTTATTGCTCCGCGATAGGAAATATTGAATTAAATTAAACGAATGTTTCTAAATCAAGTACTTTATTCTTATCGATAATTGGAATATGTACTTTATTGTACTGTACTTCTTCTATATATACAAATACATGGACGTATTATTAAGGAAATTCATATTCACATAAGAACATAGATTTCAGTTTAAAATGTTAAGTGTATTGAATGACGAAATGTTTAACGAAATTCAATCGCAAAGTTGGCGCCACGTTCTCTAACGCATAGAAAAGCAGGTCTTACCATTTTTGTAGTACATTCAGCTTTTGTTATAAAACTATATATAATATTGTATAAACAAAACCTTTTCTAGAAATCATATTTTGAATATTAGTATCTGAAAATAAGAATTATAAAATAAAGTAATTTAATAGTGACCAGTATTTACAAAAAAGAACTCCGTTAAATTCACGGCATTTACTTGACAATAGCAATACTGGGGATGGATAATGATCAGTAATGATGCATTTGACTTGACAATCCTGCGAACATTGAAATAGGAAAATTTAGTTAGAAATTGTAAGATTGATGGGATTAATTAAAATTGACGAGTTACTGTTACGGGACAGATTCAACTAACGAGCGTTTACTCTCTCTCTCTCTCCCAAAAGGAAACCAGTAGTGAGAGTCAATCAGACGGCAGTTAACAAATTGTTGGGGTGAATGGAAGGGGTTTGCGGTTTGCGGATGGAGTTAACAGGGAACACATAATACATTGTTACCCCATCTACTCATCCCCTACCACCTCATCGTTTTAGCCTCCCATTAATTCACCCCATGCATCTCTCCGTGCGAATACTCGATAGAGATGACTACCTCATAATTAACATTTACCCTAATGCACGCGCAAACATGAATTATTTTATACATTACAATATTTTCTGACAATAAATATAATATTGAAAAATGATTTTAAAATTTAAACGTTATTTTTATTGTGTTTCAGCATTTAATTTTATAAAATCTGCAATATTGTATTTATTTACAAAAACACACAGCCTTTTACCACTTTTTTGTTTTTTGTTTCGATCTGACAGGAACATTAGAACAATAGAAACTCCAAATGGTCGACATTTTATTTGAACAACTCTCCAAAAAGTCGACATTTTAAATGATCGAAAATAAAAATGGTAGAAACTGTAATTGGTAGAAATTTCTAATGGTCTATTTGAAGTTATTTGAAGTTTCGATCATCTGGAATATCGACTTTTTAGAATTTGGGGAAAAATCATGCGCCTCGAACTAACTCCTTAATATAGACCCGTTGATAATCACGTTGCCTTATCTTTTCGGTCAAGGAGTCTGTGGGGAAGTTTACAGTTAAAAAAACTTCCAGTGATTATTACTATTTAAGAAAGTTTTCTGTAAGGTTTCAGAAAGATTATTCAATTATTTATTGAAATATATTAGTTTTAATTTTAAGAAGAATCTTTCTCGAACTTTACAGAAAACTTCCTTAAATAGTAATAAGCAAATGTCTCACTGGAATTTTGTTCAACTGTAAACTTCCCAACAGACTTCTTAATGGAAAACATATGGAGCACGTGATTATCAAAAAGTCTCTATTAACAATTAAAAATAATTAAACAATTAATAAATTTTTAATTTTTTATATATTGTGGTCTTCTGTGGACCCAAATACGTTTTTATACAAAATCCCAAATAACTTCAATAATATTTACTGAAGATACAACGATTTATGATTAAAAATTGAATAAATATTGCGAATTTAAATTTTTAAGTTTTTTATAATTATTTAATAAAATATTAATTTTATCAAAATATCTCGAAAGAAAAAAGGTGCTCTTTTTAATTTCCTATAAGATTCTACTTTTCAAAAAATAGAATTTCGATTTTTAATTTTTTTCACATTTTTGATCGTTTGACTGTCTTTAGAGCAAGTAGGCGAGCGTATGTCCCCTTATTGTATAAAATATCTTTCTTTCAGTACATAAGTTTTTTTATTTTTCTTTATTTCCTTACTTTTAGTATCATAATATATGCCGCACTTTATGCGCATGCGCAATGTTTTGATAAATTTTTTTACATGTTTCCAGTAAATTTCAATGCAATTATTAATTTTTATATAAAATAGTATAGCTTTATGTTGAAATTTTATATAAGACGAGAATTTTATAAGACAGCAAAATTCACACGTTGATCGATTGTAACTTTTATGTATAACGTGGGTCGTATGAATTTACAATAAGAATTTCTTACAGTGTAATAAACATTCTTAATTAAAGTCAGAGACTACTTTTGAATAGATTGTCTTTGTATTATTGGTTTTCATACTTTTGGCGACAAAAAATCTGCAGGAAAATTTAAAATTAAAAGAATTTCCAGTGAGACATTTGATTAATAATAAGGATGTATAATCGTTTATCCATGGAAATGCATTCCTCTAGAAAAAATAATTAATTAACATTTAAATAATTAAAAAAGGGGCAGTTGTGGTAAATGGGGACAAGAGGTTTTATGCATTGCCAAAAGCTTTTATCTTGACAATTGGCAGCAAGATAAAAAAAGTTATCGCTCAATGCATAAAAACTTGAAAATCAAAGTCAAACTGTTTCAGTACTTTGGCTCGCATTTCAAAGAAAACATACTTAAAAATCAAACCAAATTTTTTTCTTACTCCTTATGACTTCCATAACATAAATTCACTTGAATTTTTGATTTTTGTTAATTTGGTTAATAATGACAAGCTGTCTCCATTTACCGTGAGTTTTCAAATTTTTGGGGTAAATGGGGACAACTTGTCATTATTAACCAAATTAACAAAAATCAAAAATTTAAGTGAATTTCTGTTATGGGAGTCATATGGAATAAGAAAAAAATTTGGTATAATTTTTAAGTCTGTTTTTTTCAAATGCGAGACAAAATAGTACAATAAAAAAAAATAAAAAAATCTCAATTGGTTTAACTATTATATATCTACTACAAATTTTTTTCAAGTTTTTTTATCCTTTAATACAGTAATATATACTTAAAGAAACTTTTTTCTTAAAACTTTCTTAGAAACTATGCTGTCCCCATTTACCCCAAATTTTATGAAATTTTCTAAATTTTGGGGTAAATGGGGACAGTCAGTTTCATGCGTTTAAAGCTTATCTAAATTTTTTTCTGCTGCATAAAATTAATCTTGGGAATGTAAATAAAAACTTAAAAAAAATAAACCCGCAAATATTACCTTTTAAAGGATGAAACTTATGTAATTTGTGAAAAATAGCGATTTTGTCCCCATTTACCCCAACTGACCCTAATTTTATTAATTATACTTTCTGAATGATAAAATATCAATTTTGAAGAAAAAAATTTAAAGCCTACACGGAGAGAAATATGTTACGAATATCTCACAAGACTTACGCGTGCGCTTTTCTCATGAGCTTCATTTGCTAATATCGCAAAGACTTGTGCTAATTTTGCACAGCTTGTGCGAGTTTTGCTCGGTAGCCATGAAAAATCAGCATGGATTTCTTGCAATTTACGCAAAGTTGTGTCTGTGCTATTTTCGAACGGACTGCTCATGCGTAACAGTTTTCTCTCCGTGTACAATGAGAGAAAAATTAAGGCTTTATAGTATGAAAGACTATTCTGCTACTTTTGTATGAACTTTTCTTAATAATGGAGCAAATATTTGAGAATTTTTAGTATAATATTTGTCCGTACTAAAGATACATAGTATATATACTTTTATAGTAAGAAAGATGTGATTTAATAGCAACAACGCCAATCGGAGATCGCACCTAGCTCATCCTACTACGATTGCAGAAGTACTATGCTTTTTCGGTATTAGACTCTTGCAATTGACGATTAGGCCACGCCTACCTACTCGCCAGTAGACCTTTTCATGCTGGTCATTCTGTCCTCTTCCAACTCATGCGTCATAATATGCGCTAGATAAGGACAGAACGATCAGCATGAAAAGGTCTTTTTCGGTCAAGAGTAATACCGAAAAAGCATAGAACTTCTGCAATCGTAGTAGGATGAGCTAAGTGCGATCTCCGCTTGGCGCGACTGCATTTAAGGTATAATGAGTATACTATAAGAGGCTACATGACAAACTTTATCAGCATAGACAAGTTTCATAGTAAAAAGACATAAGTTTATACCAAAATTACTCAAATATTACGCATATGTAGCATATAAAAGTTTTGCGCGTTAAATGTAAATTTTTCTATACTATAAAAGGTTGATTTTTCTCTCCGTGTACAAAATTTATTTGTCTATGGGTGATTCTCCGCGTAGCGTACAATTTGGTTTCTGTTATTATAGAATTTTTTTCCAATTAAAATTACCCACGTGGAAGCGTTACCGGTAAAATCCGCGGAAATTCCGCGGAGTGACTCCGCGGAGATTCCGCGGATTTTCCGCAAATTTTTTTTACCGGTAGTTTTGTGCGGAACAAGTAAAAATTAAGCACTAGGAAGTCATAAATGGTCCACCGGGTATCCAGATGAATGCAGGTCAACATCTTTAGGTAGATTGTTTTAATTAACGAAAATATTACATCAGGAAATCACCATTGTCTGGATCAATTCAGGCCAACATCTTCAGGAAAGTTTACCTCAAATAGTGAAAATAATACACTAGGAAGTCAATAAATTCCAGGTAGATCTTGATAAACTTTTTCTTGGAGGATTCTAGAAACGAAAATTAAAATTTCCAAGAGTTTCTCGAAAATATTTTAACGTCAGACGACTTGAACTTGAACTTGGAAGTTTTACCGACAAAATAGGTAAGTTTATTAGTATGCCCTGTATACAATAGGTGATTTTCTAGTACTTTTTTCAACATTTGAAATTAATTTCTTCGAAAACGATGACTTGAATCGATCCGGAAAGTAGGCTATTTTCTGGTGTATTTTATTACTATTTAAAGCTAATTTTCCCGAAGAACTTGCCTGGACCTACCCGGAACTTTCTTAACTTCCTGGTGTATTACTTCCACTATTTGAGGTAAGCTTTCCCGAAGATGTTGACCTGAATTGATCCAGACAATGGTGAATTCCTGGTGTAATATTTTCGTTAATTAACACAATCTCCCTAAAGATGTTGACCTGCATTCACCTGGATACCCGGTGGACCATTTATGATTTGCCAGTGCCTAATTTTTACGTATTCCGCACAAAATTACCGGTAAAAAAAATTTGCGGAAAATCCGCGGAATCTCCGCGTAGTCACTCCGCGGAGCCACTCCGCGGACTTTCCGCGGATTTTACCGGTAACGCTTCCACGTGGGTAAAATCATAATATAACTTTCAAGTATGATAGTCAAGAATGAAATATCTGTAATGGGCCGGACAAATTGTTTATAATTTTGGTATATTTTAAACAAATTAGATGTAAATGCATGCATGTAATATAATGAGCTATTTTGGTACTTAATAAAAATTTGAAATAATTTTTAATATTATAACAAACAAAATTTAAAAATAAAAAATATAATTTTGAAAATTTATGTGGTAATTTATGGAAATTTGTGAGGTAATTTATAATTGTAATACAAACAAAATTTAAGATTTAAAAATTATTGCAGGAAATTTATGCGGTAATATATGAAATTTTTAAGGTAACTGATAATGTATAAAAGAAAATTTTAAAAACTAATTTTGAAAATTTATAGTTTATAGGGTAATTTATGGAAACTTATGTGGTAATTTATGAAAATTTAATGGAAATATATGTTGTAATGTTGTGAATTATTTTTAAAAACATTTATCATAATTTTTACACATCACATTCAATGAAAGACGGCCAAATGGCTTCCTCATAATGTTGAGGCTTTCCCATGACGCACATACATTATTTAATTAAAAAATTTTTTTATTTTTTTGATTTCTTGTAAAATATGTAAAGACTTCCCCATGAAGATTCTGTAATTCCCTATGTAAAATTGGCGCTATGAACGTGTAAAAACAAAAAAATCAATCATAAAGAACTCTATTGCTGCTTCTGCTAAAGTATAACTAAATTCTGATTTGATTTTTATGAAATATTTTAATTTTTTTAAAAAAGCTTCCTTATGATGCTCAATACTAGGGACAAGAATTAGCATCGAAAAAAAGATTAAAAAAATTAATTTTTTTAACAACCAATTTTTTTTCTGAATTCTACAAACTTGGACAATAAAAAAATGTTACGCATCCCAAGTAGAAATATCCGTAGCTCGCCGTAATTAAACACCGGCATGGTACTCTGCCGCCCCAACAAGAATAACCGTATCTGCATTTAGGATGAGTCACCTACTTGCCACTGCCACTGCCACCAATAAGTGACTTAACCAAAATGTAGTTACTGCTACTCTTGTTGGGACGGCAGTACTGATCCAATACTGGCTGTCGGTATTGACTTTCAGTACTGGCAGTGTACTGACTAATACACCGAATCAGTACTATGTCGGAGGTAAAAAAATATTAAAACCAGTACTGGCAGTACACTGTCATTCACACCGAATCAGTACTATGTCGGTGATAAAAAACATTAAATGAAAAAGTCTTTAAATTATTTCAATAGGTAGAAAACGATGATTTTTTATTTTAAAAAATGTATATTAATTTCTTTCGAATACTTTCCCTCAAAATTTTGGATGTAATTGTAATGTATTATTATATACACTAGAGTCTCCGAAGAGAGGACAGAAAGAGTCTTGGACCTCTCTACGGAATTCGTCCTTGACGCCGAAAATTGTAAACACTCCAGGGCCGTATATCGTATCACAGAGATGTGTTTTTTTTAACAGAATACATTCTGTTACGTATGTAAAACACTACGCGAGAAAGGTACACTAAAAACAAACGCTCCTGAGTTCACGTTCCTCTTTCTGATCCCGCCCATCTCTTCCCCCCTCACTCCTTACCGCGCCGCGTCATTACTTAGTCCTCTCTTCAGAAGTCCTCTCTTGGGAGACTCCAGTGTACCTATATAAAATATATTTATGTTTTTTTAGTTATTTTAGTACTCATTGAAATATGTGCATTAAGTTATTTATCATGCATACAATAACAATAAGTTGAGAATTTTTTTCTAATAGTTTTAAAAATAAAGCAAATGTAATTTTTTCACTGTAATTTTTAAATATTATTAATAATTAAATATTAAATTTAAAAAATTTTTCACCATTCATATTTTACAGTCGTCTTTTATTAACTTATTTTTAATTTTATGTAATTCATCAATCATTTTTGTCTGTTTTAATATTATTTACGGTAAAAATAATTTATTAAAAATATTTAACTGAAATTAATATCCAGTTTTATTTCATTAAATCTTTGTAAAAATTGAAAAAATTTTATGAGTTTAAAAAATTTAAGAATAAATTCATTTTATTTTCGTGATCAATAGATAATACAAACTTTGAAATCAAAACTTTTGTATTAGGTGAACTACTTCAAGTCAGCAC